CAACCCAAATATTCAGATGTGTGCAGCACATTTTATGGAGGACCGTTTCCTGATCCTGGTAGACTACAATGTTCTGTTCTGACTCACAGACTGTAAGTATGTTAGTACCACTGATGATTCAAACAAGTGTTGAGTAGCACTTGTTGTTTGTCATTTCTCTGATCACAAATGTAGAACATGGTTTTGTGTTTACGCGGTGCGATGCAACGCGTAAAAAGACAGTATAAGTCATTATAATCCGTAATCATGTCCCCACTGGATGCAACAAATGCCTCATTTATAATGGGTTTGAATGTTTTTGTCTCGTCGCTCCGGCCTGACAGGGCATCATAGTATGGTAGGGACGAAACATTTCCGTCACAGCTTGAGGTTTTCGGCCAATCATAAATGCACTGGATAGCTGGCCAATCACAGCACACCTCGCTTTTCAGACCGATGAGCTTTGTAAAAATCGATGCGTTTCAGAAAGGCGGGGAATAGAGGAGAAACAATAATGTACAGTATGTGGAAAATGTGTCTTTGTAACCTTAAACCGCATAAACACATTTCATTACACCAAATACACAAAATAATGTTCTTTTTAGCAGCATCATATGACCCCTTTAACCAAAAAAAAGTTACGGACTGCAGCTTTAAAGTAAAGCTACCAGATGACCAACGGCTGACAAGATTATTTATAATGAACAGAGCATTTATTACCACTGATTCAGAACTAGATAAGATTTATTTCCAGTTCTCATTTCCCTTCTCAATTATTCATGACATCATAAAAGCATTTTCACAACAACATAAAAGACAACAATAAAATACAAGGCATTTTTGTTTAATGCTTACAAGCAGGTGTCAACATTGAAGGAATGCTTGGTTGTGCACTGTATATTAATATGTCTGATTTCACATACTTAAGGCACTGCCCTGACCTACAAAAAGAAAAGTAAGAAGAAAAAAAAGAAACCGAAAACACATGCAAACAGTACCAAACATATACAGAAGCAGCGGTCCAACAATAAAAGGCCCAGTCTGACGAATATAATTACAAATGTAAAACTCTACTAAATGTTTCAGAGTAAAAGAAAGGGGGAAAAAATGTTATTTTAGGTTAAGGTTTAGTAATACATGTGTACACAGTAGCAAGTGTTTGCATTTTGTTTTATTCATGTAAAGACAGTCTTCCTTAAACAAAAATGAAATTAAAGTGAAGGTGGAGGAAGAACTCTCCATCTAAAGAGGAATTTTACCAGAAAGAAGAGATTTTGACACTCTCTGACTTTCACATAGTATCATCCGTGGCAATCACTGAATTCTGGTTAGGGCTCTGTGTTGTTTACCCTGTGAACTGCAGTGATCATTCACCAGTAAGTAACCTGAATCCTCCTTTTTGCGATAAATATAGAAACAAAAGGGCTACGTGATGATACCGTATGAACAAATACATATAGTGCCTGCACTTGACCAAAGCACCACATGGAGACAGAAATCTTTTTAACATAAAGAAAACAACAAACTGCATATGTAATAAACAGGCTTTAAATAGGTGATGGTGAAAGTGAATGTTACAGTCGATGACCGTTCAAGATCTGATTGGCTGTTGTCGATACTGGCGTCTTCAAGAAATGTTGCTCTTTCAGTTTTAAGTGCTCAGGCAGGTCCAGCTTTATCTTCACCTCCTCAATGTCACTATGAATCGCTGCTATCAACTCGTCTGGGAGGAAGACACAACTGTGAGTTACTGTAACAGAATGTGTGTGTTTCTGTGGGTGAACTGGGTGTTGTGGCGTCAGTGAGATCATGTGATGTGGAAGTAAGTTCAGCTCAATGTCTTACCAAGTGATTTGAATCCTCTCTCAGGGCGAATGTAGCCGACCATGGCCACACTCAATATCCGACCGTAGAAATCTTCCTTAAAAGTGTGGATCACATGCGTTTCCTGTTACACAGAAAGATAAATGTGATATTTGATAACAGACACAAGTCATACAAATCAACTATACCACTATTAAATAAGACCATTTGATGAATGCAACGATATCAGCTCTATAGCTTTTAGATGTCTGCACACTAGAAATATAGATATGGACGCACCATGGATTTCTTAGTGTTTTTGTAGTAAGGGTTCCAGCCGATGCTCATCACCATCTTGTGAATGTCTCCGTTATCCACGCGTGCCCATCCGTAATAGATTCCTGTGCTAATGTCAGCAGGGAGATTGTCCACAACCGACTCTGGGAAGTTCGCTGAGATGGGAATGGAAAGAAAACATTAGATCTTGTAAGACTAAATACTGGCTTCGTGTTACTTTCTTTTCTCAGAATATGTGCGTGTTTACATTTGAGACATGATATCTTCAGAGCTACAGATGTACAAAAACTTAAAGTAAGGGATAATATACAGCCATTTATTATCAGAGAATACTTTGCTACTTACCAAATAAAAATACATGCACATGAAATTTTTTTTAAATTTTCTAGATGAGGGGGCTTTTACACAACATTCTTTTCAAGTAAAAACAGAAAGCATTATGCATTTTGAAAACTTTTTAAAGTGCAAGTTCTTGAACATATACAAAAATGTGAATTTGTGAAAATGGTTCATGAATGCCAGTATCAGCAGAACGATTCAGGCATCACTAGCATCAATATAAAACATGTTACGAGAGACACAAAAGTAGTGTTGCCATGGGCTGCGGTGAAATATCCAATGTGGTAATAATAGAGTACAGCAGTTGGGTTCCAGAAGTAAATATCCCATTCATTTTCTCCATAGGGGAACTGATTTTGAACAATAACTTATACTGTTCAAGATAGACTATTAGGTTGTTAATCAATGGTATATTTTTTGTTGAAGCCATCAACTGCATTATTTCAACTTATAAAAAAAAAAAAAAGTTGAACAGCTACATTTCTTGTGGAAAAACTACATTACCCATAATTCCGAAGAGAAATCCACCAATCAGAGAATAACACCGTGTCTACGCTGGACACGACAGTTGTCGCGCCGCAACAGCTAAAGTCTGTCTACACTGGACTAGGGCTGTCAAAATGGCTGAAAAACTAAATTCGAATTTTGTACTTAAATATTATAAAAATTTAATTCGAATTATATTCGAATTTAAAATGCATAATTTCAGTTAGGGTGAAGAAAAGCTTTTGGCTTCTCTTCTAAGGCCACAAGAGGGCGCATCGAGCAAAATATTACTAATGCACGTGCAATGACCACATATATCCAGCAGAGGTCCATAGGGACTCATTCATTTTCAGTTCAGTTTCAAGTCTATTTTTCTTCATGTTTCAACTTCTCCTCACAACTTTATGATATATATTTTGTGAATATTTATTTCAACATTCTAAAATACATAAAAAATCTGTATTTTTGTATTTATTTTTGTTGTTGTCTGATATATTTTGAATTGTTTGCTTTTGCAAATTATTATACATAAATTTGCAGAAATGTTACAAGTCACCACTAAAAGACATGACTGTAATCACATACTATTTATTTCAGAAAATTATTTATCACAAATAAACACTGCATAATCCTCCTCTTCAGATTCCTGGTAATCCTTCAAACTTTCATCTTCTGTGTCAGTAGTAAAATCCTCAGGACTATCTGGTTCAGTGTTCTCCGGGCCTTCTTCACTGTCACTTTGATCCAGTATGAAATCCAGGGTCTCCTCAAGACTGTACCTTTTGGCCATGGTGCTGCCACAGAATGAGCTCAGTGCAGGACCCAGACAGCCACTTTTATACCCTAACTGTGAGATGTTTTCAAAATACTGCTGCAGCTCTTTCATCAAACAGTAAACTTTCTCAGAGTGCAAAAGGTTAGCTGCCTTTCATCTTTCTTTTATCTGCCCTTTTCCCTCTCTTTCTGTGTGTGTGTGTGGTGTGGTATGTCTACCCCTTCACACTGTTGTGCATTTATGTCTGATTTTATTTGCCAAAATATAAAAAAATGCCCCAGACACCTGCGTGCGTGCGTGCGTGCGTGTGTGTGTGAGAGAGAGAGTGAACATGTTTGTTCCATGTTGCCTTTGTGCTCTAGTATTAGTCCTTCATTTATATATGGAAATTTTTCAGATTTATGCCAGTTTTGTTGATTTTATTTGCCAATTTCTATAAAAATGCTCTCTGTTGCAGTCACACACATGTATGTGTGTCTGTGTGTGTGTATGAGATAGAAAGTCCGTTCCATTTTGTGTTTATGGTCTAGGACCAGGCGAAATTTTTCTTACATAAATGTAAATTTCAGGGTGCTAAGCCTTACTTTTTTATTTTTCATAAGGAACTTAAATCCTATCTGGACACTCTCCTTACATCCAGCAACTCCAAAGCCCTTAAAACTGTCTCATTGTGTCATTTGTACGATATTTTCCTGATTTTGTAACCTGCATTTGTACTCTCAATTGTATGTACCCCTGGCATTGATGGTGTATGTTCTTAGCAATGCAATAAAAATAAAATAAAATAAAAAAAAGGCTGCCTGACGGGGGGGCCAAGATGGCATCCTTCTAGTCAGACATGCTTTTTCTCTGTCCTTGATAGACGTGGAGTTTGCAGCTGGAAATTACGTCGCAGCTTTTCTTTTCTTTTATTTAATATGAAGATACCCCTTACATCTTAATGGTATTGAAGAAATAAACATTTTGGATGGGCAAAAGGAGTAGGAAACACTCCTCTCCTCACAACGCTGATGCTAACGAGATGGAACTTGCTCGTGAGTCCGTTATGGAGCCCCCGTGCCTGGCCGATTTCCCTAGTCTGACTGAAACACCCCAAAAAAATGATTCTCCGGCTAAAAAAAAGGAATCGAGTTGGTGCGAAACCTGATTCCGAGAACACTTCGGAAGTGCTTGAAGCCATCCATGCACTTGGCTTGAAACTCGATCAAACGCATTTAAAGGTTTCAGCGATTGAGAAAACTACTGAGCTCACTTCGGCCAAGGTGGACAGTTTTAGCAACTTCTGTGCAACAGCTCATCGTCAAAGTTAACTCTCACGACGAACGGTTATCCCTGATGGAGAAAGAAATGCAAGCTCTAAAGGCTGAAAACGCGACTTTGAAGTCTAATATAGCAGAGGCTCAACGTTACACTCGACGATGGTCCCTCAAATTGCATGGCTTGAATGAGGCTGATGGTGAAAATGTCAGAAGGATAACTATCGATGCTCTTGCGAAGGTTGCTCCAGATGTTCAAGACCAGCTTGATAGGGTGGTGGACGTAGCTCATCGTCTTGGTCGTAAATCAACACCACCAAATGCTACACTGTAAAAACAATTCCGTAAAATTTACGGTAAAAAACCGG